GGGACCCCCGGGCAGGACCCCCGGCCGGCGGCAGCACCCACCCCCGGCCTGCAGAACCGGCCGCGAGGAGCCCGGCGGAGCCACGGGCCGGCGAGCACAGGCAGGAGCCGCTGGGCAGCCGGAGGGTGTCGGTGGGCAGTGGTGGCTCTGCTGGTGGCACCGGCCCCTCTGCCCCTCTCCGAGCCGGGGAGAGAGGTGACAGTGCCCCCGGGCAGCTGCCAGAGTGGAGGGAGCCCTGGGAGTTCTCACCGCAGTGGCCGGGAGCCACAGAGCCACACCCGCCTGACAACTCCAACTACTTGGCAATGCCCGAGAGAGCCCCCAAATCCTCACCAATGCCAAAGCTGCCCTCCGTCCCCTACCCAGGCACTGCATCCTTTGGGACCCCCTTGGTCCCCAGCCCAGCCAGCTCATCCTTTGGGACCCCCTTGGTTCCCAACCCAGGCAGTGCATCCTTTGGGACCCCCTTAGTCCCCAGCCCAGCCAACACATCCTTTGGGACCCCCTTAGTCCCCAGCCCAGCCAACACATCCTTTGGGACCCCCTTGGTTCCCAACCCAGCCAACACATCTTTTGGGACCCCCTTGGTTCCCAACCCAGCCAGCACATCCTTTGGGACTCCTTTGATCCCCAACCTGGCCAGCACATCCTTTGGGACCCCTGCAGTCCCCAGCCTGTCCAGTGCATCCTTTGGGACCTCCATGGTCACCAATGTGACTAACTCATCCTTTGGCTACCCATCTGCCTCCAGCCTGGCCAGCACATCATTTGGGACTCCCTTGGTCTCCAACCACAACAAGTCTTTCGGGACCCCTTTGGTTCCCAACCTGTGCAGCACATCCTTTGGGAACCCCTTGGTCTCCAATCCAACCAGCGTATCCATTGGGTCCCCCTCGTTCCCCAATCCATCCAGTGCATCTTTTGGGTCTCCCTTGGTCCCCAATCCATCCAGCATATCTTTTGGGTCCCCACTGGTCCACAATGCACCCAATGTATCCTTTGGGAACCCCTTGGTGCCCAATCCATCCAGTGCATCCTTTGGGAACCCTTTGATGCCCAATCCATCCAGTGCATCCTTTGGGAACCCCTTGGTGCCCAATCCATCCAGTGCATCCTTTGGGAACCCCTTGGTGCCCAATCCATCCAGTGCATCCTTTGGGAACCCCTTGGTGCCCAATCCATCCAGTGCATCCTTTGGGAACCCCTTGGTCCCCAACCCCACCAGCTCATCCTTTGGATCCCCCTTGGTCACCAACCCAGTCCCAGCTTCCCTTGGGCATCCGTCAGTCTCCAGCATGTCCAGCTCTTTCTTTGGATCCCCTCTGGCCCCCAACCCAGCCAGTGCTCCGCTGGGACCGGGGCTGTATCCTCTGGCTGGTGGGGAAGCGCCCTGGAGCAAACCCAGCCCTGAGCCCCCCCTGCCCCGGCCCCCCGAGGGCCCAGCCGCTGCGGAGCCCCCGGCCCAGCCCCACCTGGAGGACGGTCCCCACTTCCTAAGGAGGACTGACATTGCCTCACCGAGTGGCAGGAGCAGGCAGAGCCCCCCCAAGCCCCTGGCCGCCCCCCTGCCCCCCCAGCGGAGGATGCTGGTCGATCCCAGCAGCGGGAAGTGCTACTACGTGGAGCCCCCGCGGCAGCCCCAGATGAAAACACTCTACGACCCCGAGACCGGGCAGTACCTGGAGGTGCTCGTCCCACCAGTGGCATCTCACACCGGGCTCTACCAGGCACCTTTCAACCCCCTGGTCATGGCCCCGGGGGTCTATGGCCCATCCTACACACCCTACGGTGGCTTCCCGGGGCTCCCGGCACCGCCCCCGCCCTCCGCCCCCTCCCCGCCACACCCCGACCTGCCGCCTGCCGACAACCCCGGCTCGGCCGGGACCCCCAGCTCTGCTCCCAAGGGCGAGGGGGCTTCTGCTACCGGGGGTCCCGACTGTGGGTACCTGGAGAGCCTGTACTACATCCCCACGGGGATGCGGGCCAGCCCCAGCCCCGCCCAGCCCCCTGCCCGCACCAGCCCCGAGAAGGGACCTCAGCTCCGGATGTGACGGGACGGACCCGCCTGGAATGTCCCTTCCCGTGGCTGGGCTTTAGTCCCACAGTCAGCATCACCCCTGGCACGGGAGTGCCCCTGCCCACGGCTGAGTGGGCACCGGCTGGACCTCGCTGGCTCCTCACGAAAACGGGGAGAAAAAGGGTATTTTCCAGTGTGAGCACCCGACAGCTCTGGGGGGGACATGGAGTCATGGACCCCTGCCGGCAAAGGGACAAGGTGCCAAGCCTGTCCTCTGGTCCCATCCCAAGGGTGACCCGGGCTGGTCGGCATAGGGGGTAATGGCCCTCCTAGCCACGGTGGCAGCACAGACACCCTAAAATAGTAATAAAAATGCTGATACAGTGTTAAACCTGCTTAGTCGTCCCGTGCTTGTAAGGTCTGTAAGGGGGGGTGGGGGTGAGAGGCTGAGGCACTCGGGACCTGCAGTCCATTTGTCTGTCTTGGAGTGTCCACCAGATGAATCCCAACCCCGGGAGCAGGAGGGGACTCTGCAGTCATCAGCGAACCCTGATCCTCAGCCCTGAACCTCAAACCCCAGCCAGGAGCCCCAAATTCCAACTCTCAACCTCAAACCTCAGCCTGGAACCCCAAATCCCAGCCCTTAACCTCAAAGCTCAGTCCTGAACACCAAACCTCATCCCTGAGCCCCATCTCTGAGTCCCAAACCCCCACCCAGCCCCAGCCCCGGTAGGTCCACACCACCCCGGGAAGGATTTGGGTGGAGGAGGAGGGATGAGTCGTTACAAGACTGAACGACACCACAAACCTCCCTGAGAGAGGGCGCTCGGGGGGGGGAGGGACACACACACCCACGCACACAATCCCCTTCCTGCCCCGGGCCGGATGCAGGTGCGTTGGCCCCGGGGTGTTTAAAGCCACCCCGCAGCTCCCCCGGCGCTGTGAGCAGCGGGGCAGGATGGGGCCGGCGGGGAGAGGCAGGATGGGGCTGGCGCTGGTGGCGTGGCTGGCCCTGAGCCTGCTGGGGGGGCCGAGGGCCGAGGAGATGTGTGGGGACCCCCCCGCCGCCCGGTCCCACTCCGTCCCCGCGCCCCAGCTCAGCCCCGAGGAGCAGCTCTCGCCCCACATGCCCGAGTCCCTGCGCTGTGACGCCTGCAGAGCCATCGCCTTCCAGGTGGGGATGGGGGAGATGGACCCCCAGGACTGCGAGTGAGAACCCTTACAGGGCTGCTTCAGCCTGGGGAGACGCTGCTGGCTCCCCTGGGCACCCCATTGATGCACATCCCCGCATTGGCACCCTGAAGGGCCTTTGGGGCTCCTCGTGGACCCACCAACCCCTGCAGAAGTGCTGCAGGTGCCAGGGCCGCAAGGAAGGGGGTGCAGATCCCACTCCTGCTTGGGAGCGGGGTCATGGAGAGGCTGCCACCCTCACTGCCCAGATTCTGCTCTTTTTCACCCCAGATTGAGGAGCAGCTGAGCAGAGCGGAGGGGAAGGTGGGCAGGAAGGCACTGAAGGAGTCCGACTACATGGAGGTGCTGGAGAGGAGCTGCTCACAGGGCTGGGAGAGGTGAGTGGTGTGTCCCTGGAAATGGGGTTGACCCCAGGGATGGAGTTTGTCCACGGATTAAAGTGTCACCAGGGACAGGTGTGTCCTCAAGGATAGAGGTCTTCCTAGGGATCAGAGTCCCCAGGGACAAGGTTGCCCCAGGGACCAGGGTATCCCCAGGGATCAGAGTCCCCAGTGATAAGGTTGCCCCAGGGACCAGGGTATCCCCAGGGATCAGAGTCCCCAGTGATAAGGTTGCCCCAGGGACCAGGGTATCCCCAGGGATCAGGTTGTCCCCAGGAACAGGAGTGTTCCCAGGGATTAGGGTGTCCCCCAGGATGGGGATGTTCCAGGCATAGATAGATATGTCCACAAGGATAGGGGTATCCCTAGGAATCAGGGTGTCACCAAGGATGGGGGTGTCCTCAGGGATGGGGGTTCCCCAGGAATCAGAGTGTCCACAAGGATGGGGGTGCCCCAGGGACCAGGGTGTCCCCAGTGATAGGGGTGTCCCCAGAGATTGGGGTGCCCCAGGGATCAGGGTATCCCCCGGGATCAAGGTGTCCCCAGGGACAGGGGTGTTCCCAGGGACCCTTTTTTCTCCCGCTCCCCCTCTCCCCGCAGTTATGGGGTGCAGGAGCTGGACGGGCAGAAGCGCCTGGCGGGGCCGGGGCTGCCCAGTCGGGAGCCCGTGAGCGTGATGGTGTCGGGGGGACCGTGGCCGGGCAGGTAAGCGCGAGTTTGGCAACGCAGGGGGGTCCGGGCACTGTCCCCCCAGCAGGGCGGGGGATGCAGCGTGACCACCCCGGCTCCTCGCAGGCTCTCCAAGATGTGCCACGGCTACGTGGGCGAGCAGGGGGAGGCGCAGATCTACGAGAGCCACCGGCGGGGCCCGGCGGCGCTGCGGGAGCTGCTGTGCCACGGGGACAAGGGGCCCTGCGGCGGCGGCAAGGCCGGGGTGCCCGCCCCCCCCAAGGCGCTGCAGAACGAGCTGTAGCCCCGGCGCGGTTAATGCTTAATGCCCCGGCGACCTTCGGAGCCGACTTCGTCCCCGGCGGGAGCCGACACGTGCCGGGCGGTGGGAGCCCTCCCGGAGTCGCCTGTCGCCGCTGTCGCCGCTGTCGCCGCTGTCCCTCGACGCGCAGCCCGGGGGAGATGCGGCAGCAGCCGCTGTCCCGCCCGGCCGGACATTACCGCCCGGAATTACTCTGTAACCCACCGGCTCTAATGTTTCACCGCGCGGTGCTCCCGGCGGGTGCAGCCCCAATTAAAGCAGTTAATGGCTGACCCGTCCCGGGGCTGCGCTCCCTGGTTTCACAACCCGCAGCCAATGGCCGCCCTCCCGCCCGCCGCCCCTGCCACGGCCACCGCCCGGGAGGTGACTAAAGTCCTTCCCACGGCCATAAAACCCCCGAGCGGTGACATCGCCGCCGGGGACGCGTCGCCGGAGGATGGAGACCCGCTCGGGGGACCTGGCTAAGCCCCAGGTGAACGCAGCCTCCATCCCTGTCCCAATCCCCATCCCTCGGTCACAACCCGGGGCGGCGGGGAGGGAGGTGGTGACCAGGGGTATTAACTCACGCCACGGCCAGCGCAGGGTCAGGATGCCCTGCTGGGGCTGGCAAAGGGCGGGATGAGCCTGGGAACTGCGGGGAATCCTGGGGCCAACGGGACATGCAGAGATGCTGTGGCTCGGACTGGTTTGTGCCAGCTTTCCCAGCACCTGCAGGGTGGTCTAGGCACCCTAGGGCCAGCGGGAACCCCCCTCCACACTTTCCAGGGACAAACCATCACAGAGGGACCAGTGGGTTTTGGAGCCTAGACCCCTTTTGAGGGTCAGAGGTGGTGCCGGGTGGGACTGAGCAGACACAAGATAAGCTATGGCCTGGTGTCCCCCCACATCCCCAGGGCAGAGGCCAGCCCCGTTCCCATGGGCCACCCAGGCCCACACTGACCCAGCCCCCACCTCACCCTCACTGCCAGAATGGGAACTTGGCTCTGGCTCCTGCTCCTGCCGGCTCCCCACAGAATCCCAGGAAGGAGCCGCCTGCGGAGGGCAGGGTGAGTACTGGGGCACCCCGTGGGCAGCACAGCACCCCAAATCCATCTCTAACACACCATGGGATGTAGACCAGCCGGCCAGGACCCCTCACCATCCCTGAGGGCGCAAGGGCTCCCACGGGGCAGCCTGTGCCACCTATGGGGACAGTGTGGGGTGCCACTGCCTGCCCCCAGTCCCCAGGGTGAGCCACGGCTGAGCTGTGTCCCCACACAGCAGGACCCGAGGGGGGGCACCAGGCCCCCCCAGCCGGAGGTGGACATGCTCTACAAGATTGAGGACGTGCCCCCCTGGTACCTCTGCATCCTGCTCGGCTTCCAGGTACAGCCTGGAAAGGGGGGAGCCCCACTGGCAGATCCCAAGCCCCTGCTCCCTGTGCCATGGGGCACCCATGGCCCCCCCAACCCTGCTGAGCCCCCCTTGCCCCCCAGCACTACCTGACCTGCTTCAGTGGCACCGTCGCCATCCCGTTCCTGCTGGCCGAGAGCATGTGCGTGGGCAAGGACCAGCTCACCGTCAGCTACCTCATCGGCACCATCTTCACCTGTGTGGGCATCACCACCCTCATCCAGACCACCGTGGGCATCAGGTAGAGCCGTGGCCCCGGTGGGACCCCCTGCCCGCCCCCGGGTCCTGCCCACCCCTGGGCCGTGGGCACAGGATCCCCTCTCGTCCCCCCAGGCTGCCCCTCTTCCAGGCGAGCGCGCTGGCCTTCCTCATCCCTGCCAAGTCCATCCTGGCCCTGGAGAAGTGGCGATGCCCTCCTGAAGGTGAGGGCAGAGGGGGTGCAGGGGGGTGTCCAGCTGCTCCCTGCCCCCCCCGGGACCACTTCACCCCCCTCCCCCCCCAGAGCAGATCTATGGCAACTGGTCACTGCCGCTCAACACCTCCCACATCTGGCAGCCCCGCATGCGAGAGGTACATCCTGCCACCACCGCCGGGGGACCCCAAAACCCCTGGCAGGCCGCTGACCCCCCTCCCTCCACCTCTCCCTGCCCTGCAGATCCAGGGGGCCATCATGGTGTCCAGCCTGGTGGAGGTGGTCATCGGGCTGCTGGGGCTCCCCGGGGCGCTGCTCAGCTACATCGGGCCGCTGACCGTCACCCCCACCGTGTCCCTCATCGGACTGTCCGTGTTCCAGGCGGCCGGCGAGCGCGCCGGCTCCCACTGGGGCATCGCTGTGATGTACGGCACAGGGACGGGGGGACAGGGGGGTAGGGTTGTCCAACGCAGCCAGGAGGACGCCAGGGGCACGAGGGACCCTGTGCTTTTCTTCCCCCAGGACCATCCTGCTGATCGTGCTGTTTGCCCAGTACCTGCGGCAGGTTGCCATCTGCCTGCCCGGCTACCGCCGGGGCCGCGGCTTCGTCCTGTTTCGCTTCCAGATCTTCAAGATGTTCCCGGTAGGGACTGGCTGGGAGCATCCTGGAGTGCCCCCCAAATCCCTCCTTTTCCAGGCATGGGTTTGTAAGCACTGTGGATGCTTCCCTGGTCTCTGCCCCGCAGATCATCCTGGCTATCATGGTGGTGTGGCTGTTCTGTTACGTGCTGACCCGCACCGGTGTCTTCCCCAGCGAGCCCGAGGAATATGGGTACAAGGCCAGGACAGACGCCCGGGGGGAGATCCTGTCCGTGGCCCCCTGGTTCCGGGTTCCCTACCCCTGTGAGTGCCTGGCAGACCAAGGGGGCTGGACCTCCTGATACCCCTTTGCCCTGGGGGATGTGGGGAGCTGGTGCAGCATCACCAGGGCTGGGGAACACCCGTGGGGGGCCCCAAAGTGGTGAGTACCAGGGGGGCCTGAGGTGGCCCCCAACTCTGACCTCCTGCTATGACTCCGGGCAGGCCAGTGGGGTCTGCCCACAGTGACCTCGGCGGCCGTGCTGGGCATGTTCAGTGCCACGCTGGCAGGCATCATCGAGTCCATTGGGGACTACTACTCCTGTGCCCGGCTGGCAGGGGCCCCCCCGCCTCCCGTGCATGCCATTAACAGGTACAGACAGCTGTTTCCCCTCCACGGTACCCCGCTCACACCGTGGCATCCCTGGAGACCGGTCAGGGACGCCGCAGGAGAGTGGGATGGGAACCAGCCCGACCGCGTTGTTCCTCAGGGGCATTTTCACCGAGGGCATCTCCTGCATCATCGCGGGGCTGCTGGGAACCGGCAACGGCTCCACCTCCTCCAGCCCCAACATCGGCGTCCTGGGCATGACCAAGGTACCGGAGCTGGGGAGGAATCCCGGCTCGGCCGGGGGGCGCGGGCACCGTCACCGCCTGCCGCTGTCTCTGTGCAGGTGGGGAGCAGGAGGGTGATCCAGTACGGGGCCGGGATCATGCTCGTGTTGGGGACGGTCGGCAAGTTCACGGCGCTCTTCGCCTCCCTGCCCGACCCCGTCCTCGGCGGGATGTTCTGCACCTTATTCGGTAACTGCGGCGCAGCCGCCCCCAAACCCGGAACGCTGCTCTCAGCAGCCCTGGGCCATGTCCCCGCAGATTTTGGGGCTGGTGAGCCCAAGGGATGCAGTTTTGGGTGGGACCGTGACCGCCTCCTTGCACCCCTGCTGGGGCAGCCCCTCCCTGTGCCCGGCTCCCGCGGGCACCTCCGCCTGCATCGCCGCGTCTCTGCCGACAGGAATGATCACGGCCGTCGGCCTCTCCAACCTGCAGTTCGTCGACATGAACTCCTCCCGAAACCTCTTCGTGCTGGGCTTTGCCATGTTCTTCGGGCTCACGCTGCCAAACTACCTGGATTCTAACCCCGGGGCCATTAACACAGGTACCCTCAGCCGCGAAAAGCCCTAATTTGGGGTATTTAGGGAGAGAGGAGGGAGGACTTCCCGGGTGGTCTCCCACCCCAGGGAAGCAGTGATTATTAAGCTCATGACAGCACAGCCCGGCTCCATCTCTCGCTCTCACAGGTGTCCCCGAGCTGGACCAGATCCTGACGGTGCTGCTCACCACGGAGATGTTCGTCGGGGGGACCATCGCCTTCGTCCTGGACAACACCATCCCGGGTAACTGCAACACACGGGGCCGGGGCAGGGGGGGAGCAGGAAGGGCTGGGGGCAGATTCGTGTCGGTTTGGAGCTGTCGGAGGGCCTGGCAGGGCGAGGGGGTGACACTGGGTATCGCGGCTGCCGCAGGGACGCAGGAGGAGCGAGGGCTGGTGCAGTGGAAGGCGGGCGCGCACTCGGACAGCACGGCGGGCGCCAGCCTCCGGAGCTACGACTTCCCGTTCGGGATGGGCGCGGTGCGCAGGGCGCGGTGGCTCCGGCGGGTGCCCGTGTGCCCGGTGTTCACGGGGTTCAGGGCCCGGGCCCGCGGCGGCGGCGCGGCCGCGGATGGGCAGGACGGCGCGGACGAGGTGTCGGTGTGCACCAAGGTCTGAGCGAGGGCAGGGCTCCTGCCTGGCGCTGGAGAGGCCCAGCCGAGCTCCCAGGGAGGCTCTTGGGATCCATCAGCACTCGCCAAGGCCAAAGCCAAGGCTCGGCTCGGCTCGGACACAGGGATAGGGAAATGCAACGCTGCTCCCGGGGGACACCCCGAGCTCCGGGGGCACCCGCCTGGGAACTGCCACCCCCGTGCTTTGCTCCACCCCAACCTTCAGCCGGCTGAGGCTCATCCAGCGCTTGCTGAAGCCTGTCTGCCACCACTGGAGCCAGCCAGAGCCCCAGGGCCACCAACTCCCACCCAGGGCCATGGATTTCCACGCTGTGCCCTCACTCTGGCCGGGTGACCCAGCACTGGTGCAGGCTCTGTGTGGAGCAGTGTCCAGACCAGCCTTAGGAAGCCTAATTTAAGATTATACATTAAAAGTAATAAAATATTCAAGCACACAAGCCCTACCAGCGTCTCTGCTGCCTCCTGCACCATTCCCTCAACCCTTCTGCACTGCACCAGCACCTTTCTGTACTCCCTGCCAGGCTGCCCGACATGGAGACGCTGGATTTCATCCAGGTGGGCTCTGCCTTGACCCGGTGCAGCGGGAGAGGCAGCTCAGCACAAGGCCTTGGCAAACCCCTCGTGCGTGGGGAGCTCTGGAGAGCTGGTTTCGTCCTGGCTGTGCCGGTGACACTGCCTGGTGCCGGCAGTGGGTCCCCAGCTGCAGGCCCAGAGGTGGCTGATCAGGCCTGTTCCAGCTTCTTGTCCCCACAGCCCACTCCTGGGGCTGGAGCAGGAGTGAGAGGAAGCCTGGATGTGGTACAAGTGCTGCTCAGCAGCAACCTCTGCTCCAGTCACATCCCAAACCCAGGGACAGGACAGCGGCAGCTCCATCCCAGTGGAGACCTCTCCAATAAACATCCCGGAGCTGGCTGGGATATGGGAGGGTGATAACACCAACGCCAGGAGAGCAGCCCACGGCCAGGCAGGTGCTCCACACGCTGGCTCCTGGCTGCTGCACTCAGCTGCCACCACCCCAAGGTGACCGTGGACAGGCCGAGGTTCACGGACAAGTTGCAGCCACGCCGGGCTCGCTGGTGAAACTCTCCCACTCCTGATAAAAATTGGCTGTGGAACAGTGGTGTGTTATTTCCTGCCTTTCTGTGTTTAGGTGCTCGAGTCTAAACCATCTCCAGTGGAAATGCCGGGGTAGTTCTGCTGGCTCTGGGAAGGCTGGTTCTCCGGTAGGGAAGGCAGAGCCTGGGATAACTGCAGCAATATTTCACAGAGCAACAGTAAAATGAGTTCATGTGCCTGAACTCCCCCACGAGGGAGGGGTTCTCCCCCCTGGAGTACAAATGATGTAGTTCTGCTGCAGGACACCTGAGAGAAGGCTCTGCCTCCCCCTCCAGCCCTGCAGAGCTCCAGCTCCTGAGGTGTTCCCGTTTGGTTTAGTCGGAGCTTAAACCCAAAAGACATCAACAGCAAGGCTGGGGCTGTGCTGTGCAGGGCCAGGGTTGGACTCTGCGATCCTTGTGGGTCCAGCTTAGGATATTCTGGGATTCATGGACAGTTAGGAAGCAGGAATGGACGGGACTGTTGCAGCCACCACATGATTCCACAGTTCCAGAGTTCCCACAGCTCATGCCAAGCACCAGGAGCAGCTTTATTGGAGCCATGACCTGCTCCCAGGGCTGCCAGTGGGGCTGAGCCAGGATCAGTCATTGGGAGAACAAAGGGGGAGCACAGGGAGCGTGAGGAAAGAGAAATTCCTATGCCTGGAAGTGTCCATGGCCAGGTTGGATGGGGCTTGGAGCAACCTGGTCTAATGGAAGGTGTCCCTGCCCACGGCGGGGAGTGAAAATGAATCTTTAAGGTCCCTTTCAACCCAAACAGTTCTGTGATTCCATGAAAAGATCAGAGTCCAGCTTCATCCAGCATCCTGGGCCATCAGGTTCCACAGCCTTCCAGGCACCACATCCAGTGCCAGCCCTCTCTGCAGGCGCTGCCAAGCGAGTTCCCGTGCGAGATGCCCATTCACGAGACAGCCACCACATCAGTTCTACTATTATTTATTTTTTTAAATATTTTTGAAAAAATATAATTTTTTTACAATATTTTCAACTTAAACACTATTCACACTGAACACGTATGGCAGCTTAACCTACCCAAATATGAAGTTTAAGAAGCCAAAACTGTTCTAGCTTTATTAAAAGAGGAAAAAAAAAAAACAACCAAAAAACCAAAAAAAAAAAATAACCCCAAAAAAGTCGTTGTGCTGTAGACTATTGTGTAGTGATGATTAAACAAAGCAAGGGAAAAGCACCACTCAAATCACTAATGCTGGGGGTTGCCTGGTTAAATCCAGCTATGGAAAGTCGGATGCTAAGGGTTACATAGGCAGTGCTATGTACGGCACCGGGGTCTTGGAAGAAACTGTGATGAAAACTCACATTCCTTGAACATCATCGGGAAGTGGAACGTTTCTAACGCGGGAACACGCTGCAAAGTACAGGGAATTTCTTCCTCCCAATCACTTGGCTGTTAGTTCAGTAGCTGAGATCTACGACTCTGTACAGGTCTGTAAGATTTGGGTTAAAGCTCACGATTTGGGTTAAAGCTCGAGCTGCTTCCCAGGAGCATGTTTTGTAAGGGGAAAATCGACATTAGTAACAACACTGATACCTCAAAGGAACATTAGCTAATTTGCATAACAATCAGATCTCCTCACTTTCATTTGGAAGTTAAGGCATTATCAGGTGCAAGCTAGCACCAGTTAACACATCTTTAGGTAAAAACAGACCATTCACCGCAAATTCCAAGTCCTGTTTAAAAAGTCAGAGTCTTCAGAAGGTTTTATTAACGTGGTACTTTGTCTCAACTTGACTGGTGCTTCTTACCTCACTGCCTCCTTTGCACAGAGCCAGGCCCGATTATGTTTCCATTAAACTTTTGACAGATTTACTTAATAACAGTCTCAGCACTTTTATTGAGCATGCAAGACTAACAAAACTTTGGCAATGCATAAGTGTAACACAGTGACAAGAAGAGAGAGCTTTTACAATTAAATCTTCTAATACTGGCTTCACAGTGTGGAAATTGTGCTACATCCACCAAAAGAGGGCCCAGTCTACTCAAATGTTTAAGTACTTCACCCCAGGAACAAACTCCTTTGCGTTTGGATTCAGATTACTCTTGACCTGAGGAAGGGAAAAACAGACATCGAGCTCAATCATTATTTTCATCTTCCATTTTCAAGCTGAAGACAAATCAGAGGCAGAGAGCATCAGGAACAGTCAGCAAATTTAGAGGAACACTCAGGCATACATTTATCAGCAGTCTATGATGCCAAGAAAAGTCCACTCCCATGTGCTACTCCCTGAATTATCCATCCTTCCTCAGCTCCACCTGAAGTTTCAGCCAGAGGAGGGCTCAGGGAATAAGCAGCAAACCACAGGCATGCACCCAACACAGCAGCTTCCCCTCGTGCTGAAATAGCCTTTTCTCAAGCTGAGCTGTTAAAACGTGCCATGAGGTTTTTTAATTTTGCTTATTTAAGCAAGAGGTGACTTGTTCCAGGAACTTCAGCCACTTCTGGGAATTTAATGTGTATGAACAGTGTATTGATTTTTTACATGTCTGTGAGTACCCTGTCCTCCCCCTTGGCAAGCTGCTGCTGCTGCCCAGTGTCCTGCAGTTAGAGGTGGGCACCAGCACCTTCAAAATGAGCTCTTCATCACAAAGAAATTGAGGATTAGGTTTTTCTGTTCTTAATTGAGTCTGAAACTGCTGCCTGCAGCTGTTTTAGCTTGAAAAAGTCGGGGTCTGCATCTGAATCCCACAGCAATTTTGTGACAGTGTGGGTTTTGTACTCTGTATCAGGAACTTAGTATTCTGTGAGGGAAAATAAGTACACACTGCCTTTTCCTTTGAGTTAAGCTCTGGACAGAAGTCAGACAGCAAAAAGAGGGAAATATCACAGTTTGGCTGCTTTGCCCTTCCTTAGAATTTCTACAGTTCTCCCAGTCCCAAGCAAACCCTGGGCCAGGGCTCAGTGAGAGGTGCCCAGTGACCCTCTCACAGTGTGCTTTCATAACCCTCCCCACACCCAGAGCTTCTTGAACTTGTGCCACGGACTGGGAAAGGCTCCACGTGGGCATGAAAAAACACCAAATAGGTCAGGTCCCATGAGGACACATCCCCTAGCCACACATCCCACCCCACAGCCAGGCACCTTTAACAGGCTCAGCCCTCCTGTGAAGGACTCTCTCTTGCCCTTAGCAGCAGTAAAACCCAGCCTTGGACAAACACTCAAGTTTTAGAAACAGGAGAAACTGAATTTACCACCAGATCCTCCAGCGATGAGCTGTCACTGATAACAAGGTCATTGAACTGGTCCTGGATTTGATCCATTGTTTGTGGGAGATCACGGGCTGGAATAAACCACTCGTGCTCCTCCTCCTCTTCCAGCATCTCCTGGAAACAGCGCTCGATAAATTCTTCTTCCCACAACTCCTCTTCGATCTGTCCAAGAGAAGGATCTGCTTCAGCAACAAACATTGCTGACAGCTTGGGGGGGTTTATTCCCAGGTGTGTGCCCCCAGCTGACCTTCTTCCCAGCTATCCAGCAGGACCCCAGCCTAGCACCATGCCCAGGTGGCAGGAAGGCCATCAGCTGGCATTTAACAGTGTAGGAAAGTGCTTTGTCCCAGGAACTTGGGAAAAGGGAATGGCATGAGAACAACCCCAGCCCCAGTTGTTTTGTTTGCAGCTTATTATGAACTCAAGGAGAAGGAAAATGTTGGTTCCAAGCAAAAATTTCAGTTGTACCAACTAGTCTGGACTGAACTTGCTGCAAGTATGAGGAAGGGAACTGTGCCAACACACACAGCCGGGTACACTCCCCAGGAAAGTGTCCTGCGGGACTCCTGGGAGGAAAACAACCACTGCCTGTCTCTTGGAACAAGCAGCATCTCCTTGGCTGTGTGTTCACCCACTGTGGTTCTCCTTGGGAACCCCCCCGATCTCAGCAGTTGTCAGGAATGCAGCCCTGCTGTCCTGAGAGCAGGACAAACCAAGCCATGCAGAACTG